TTGAAAACTCTGGCAATAAAATACCGACTTAACAGTAACCCTTCTGGCAATTTCCTTCTCAGAGAAGGAAGTGGGAGTAAAATGTTGCCTTCCCCACTTCTTACATCACCACCGTCACGACGTCCCCGCTGGCCTGGCCAGTTCCTAGAGGGAAGGGTGGGCTGGTTTTAGTACTCTGAAGAAAAACCAAGCTGCAGTATTTGAGGTGCAGTATGATATTTCCTAATCTTTCCTATTTCTTAACGAAACAGATTTTAAAGGACTTCTCTAGTCATTGAATTTTTTTCTTTACACACGATTGATATATTCTTTTTCTACTCAAAGTGCCAAAGGCTACAGTTTTTAATGACTTAACAAATTGTACCACATTGTTAAGGAAATATAATGATAGGCACTAGAATTCAGACCTCTGCATGTATATTTGATAACACATCTTTTGTAAAAAATAAATAATTACAAAAAATTTGTTTACATTCCACTGGTACCTTAATTTAAAATAAATCAGACTAGCAGGTGTTATCTCTCCTTAGTGTTCTATTTATCTTATTTGCTAATGAGAGCACTTCTTCTTTTGTTAGGCTGTGCTTTATTGATAAAACCAAGTATTGAATAAAGAGAGTTAATTATCTTTTTAAAGTAAATAAAATTATGAATATATAATATATATGAAGTATTGTGTTTAATAAAATGTTATGCAATGTTTTCCAAACTGAAAAAGTTTGTAAAGTGCTATAAATGTATTTTGTTAAGTACAGATCAAAGCTATCGTGTGAGTATATTGTGCTAACATCATAGAAATAAAGATTAGATTTCTTCATCAAAAAACATTTGGGTTTTTATTTCAGATAGAATAAGAATTGATAACAACTTGGAAAAGGCTAAGGAAAGTATAAATGAGTTGGTTAAACTCATCGGTGATGAGAAAGAAAGAGTATTGCATAAAGAAAAGAAAGTTTGTCAAGCTACATGTTAGTTTGTTTAGAAATTTTATCTCAGGAGGCTGGAGAGACTGTTCAGTGGCTAACAACCCTTCCTTCTCTTGCAGAGGACCTGAGTTCAGTTCCCAGTACCCACAACAAGTACCTCACAACTGCCTATAACTGCACTCCCTCTTCCGGCATCTTTGAGCACCTACACACATATGGCACACACATATGCACAAACAATTAAGTAAAAATAGATTTTTTAAAAAAATTGTTCCATGCTTATTATGGGATGTCTCTTGCACTTAAACATACTCTTCAATACTATAATATATAAAAAATGAAATAAGAAAGTCAGGTCTTAATGTCTAAAAGTAGTAGTCAATATAGCCTTCTCAATTATTGCCTTTCATGCCATTGTAGGCAAAAATGTTGCAGTTTTTCTTAAAAGAGTGCTTGACAATTAACTGTATTTTCTTTCAAGCCATAAGTGCGCACTCTCTGACTTATATTGCTCTATATCACATTAGAAATTGTTAATACAAGGTTTAGATTACAACCAAGATTTATGCTTTAATCCATTGGCTTTAAGCACTATGCTTTATGAACACAAAGTGGCAGTTATCTATAAATGCGACTAAGTTTTTACAACTGTTCAGTAGCAATCATTTTCATGGATACCAAGGGATGAGATCATTACTGCTGCCTAGACAATAGCCAATGCAGGCTGCTATGAAATTACAGAAATATTCTGGTTTTACAAACAATATGCAAACCACAATGTCTGTCTCATAATTATTTAAGTGCAGTTTTATTTTATTTTATTTTATTTTGGAGGGGGGAGGTTTCGAGACAGGGTTTCTCTGTGTAGCTTTGTGCCTTTCCTGGAACTCACTCTGTAGTCCAGGCTGGCCTCGAACTCACAGAGATCCGCCTGGCTCTGCCTCCCGAGTGCTGGAATTAAAGGCGTGCACCACCACTGCCCAGCTTAAGTGCAGTTTTAAACTCCTTTGATTCTTTAAATCTTCATTTCTGAATCAGCTATACCAGCTTTCTGAAGAATATTCAACAAAACTTTATAAGTTTCTGTGGATTAGCAATACTGTTTTACCCAGCAAATAAAACTACTGATATGGAAACAGAAAATTACCTGATCAGATGTCTAATTATTATTGCCCTCTTTGGCTACAAGGTTAGGAGAAATGAGAAAATATAGGATGTGTCAACCATTTTACCATATAATATATCAAAAGAGGTGATTTGTGTAGTTATGTCCCCAGAACAAACATCATCTTGTGAGGACTCAAGTGAGCAGCTTCTGTACACCTAAGGAGCTGTCATCACAGCTGCCATTTCTTTCTTTTATAGGTCAAGAGCTCAATGTTGTTGCAGTCTACACCCCAGAGCAAAGGAACACAAAAATGCATGTGTGGTTGAAAGAGTAATCTAGTTAATATCATTGAAAGCAAGCAAGAGGAATTGCAATGTTTTATTCTAAGAGGGAAACACACCTGCAAAACAGGGAATGACGTGTGTGTGGCCCTGTACTTCATTTCCTCTGGATGTTGGAGATGTATCCTGCATTTATTTGTTAGAAAGCTTTAAAATGCTAGGATCAAACATTCCAGTTGGAAGACAACATAGATTCCAGTAACGGTATGTGGCTTATAGAATATAAAAATGTAGTTATAGGATTTCTTTAGTAACCATGCCATCTAGTTGCAAGAAAATATCTATGTGAACCGTTAATACAGAGACGAGCCATTTCGCTACTCCAGAAATGTAGTCACAAGTTCCTAGCTGTGCATATCCATGCCTCATAGGTGATGTCCAAGACTAGAGAACTGAGTTAACCAAAGTTCTGTTGCCAATTCAATTTTCCAGGCTTGTAGTGTGTCCATTTCATCTCATTGTATTGCCTGTTTTAAGATCTTCTCATCATTGCCATAAGAAAATCTATCAAAAGTCTAAAATTCTCTTTATAAAATGGTAAAACAAACATTTAAATGAATGAGTCTGAAAAAATATGAATGTGTTATACAAATTCACCCTTTCCCTTAATGAATTCAGGGTGCTATGTAGGGTAGTTAATGGCCATGCCTTTGTTGGAAACTGAGATGCTCTATAAGCTCAGATCCTTTGCTTCTTCCCTGTGGATATGTGTCCACCTGATAACTGTGATGTATAGATAAGGTATGCCATCTTGGAGTTTTGGAAAATATAGTTTATTCCACATATAGGTTAGTTTCCCCCACTGTGAGACTAAGTTAAATTATGATAGACATTTCAAAAACTGTCTCAGATGAGCTCAAACACTTAAATATAGAATATATAACTTTGTGTTGAAAACAGGAGAAAAATACTTCAAATCTAAGATTTTTGAATGCTGGTCTGCAAATATATTTTCCTAGTGTGGGGTTTGTCTTATCATATTTTGAACAAGCTCTTTCCTTTGCACCCCCCTTCTCAGGGATGCATAGCTTATTGATATATAATTGTCAAATAAAAATTGTATGTGGTTAAGGTATACTCAGGGGTGTCTGATATATTAACACGTACATGTTGTGAAATGGTTGCCATAATTAATCTAGTGGGAAAACAATGGTCCAACCATTCTGAAATGCAGTTTGGTCATGTGTTAGTTACTTTCCTATTGTGACAAAGTGCCACCACAAAAGAAATTTATGAAGAATTTAATTGGGGGCTTGCTTAAAGTTGTGGAGGATGAGTCCATGACCATCATGGTTGGGAGCATGGTAGCAGGCAGGATTGGCACTGCAGCAGTAGCTGAGAACTTTACCTGTTGAGGTAACAACCATGAGGCAGAGAGAGAGCTAAATAGGAATGGTGCTTGCTTTTGAAACTTCAAAGCCCACGCCCTCCAACAAGACCACATCTCCTAATCCTTCCCAAATAGTTCTACCAACTGCAGACCAAGAATTCACATATATGAGCCTACTGGAGCCATTATAATTCAGATCACCACAGACCATTTCGTTTTAAGCTAAACATATACTTACCATGTGGACCAGGAACTATAATTTTGTCCATTTAGCACATAGAAAAGGAAACTTGTGCTTCCACATCAAAAGTCTGGCACATAGCCATTCAAAGATGCTTCATTATTAGTAGACCAAAAACAACCCAGATGCCCTTTTACATATGAACCGTTAAAATACTATACATCCATCCTGTGGAATATTGTTCTGTGATTTAAAAAAAAAATGTATCTAACTTGAATGATTCTCCAGGAACTGATGCAGAAAATAATCAGACAGGTCCAGAGCGATGGTTTGGCCATTAAAAGCTAGGCAGACAAGCCAACACAGAACTGTCACATATTACATGGTTCTATCATATGAGGTAAGTAATTTTGATATTGAAAAGCCCGTACTTAGAGAGAGGGATTCACAGTCTTTAACATATGACTTCTCAGGTCACTCTGTTTGTTGCAAATTCCCAGCAGAATGAAGTCAAGGAAAGGCCACTTTGGCTTCAAAATGATACATAATTAGAATCCATCATTCACAATCTACCCCATGGGCCTTATATATATCACCTTGCAGAAAAGGAAGAGGCCTGGGCTCAGCTAAAATTCTTTGTCTTCTTCAAGTAGGTGAAAGACAGGTGTAGTCCTGATGGCTGTTTAAATCCTCTTTACTCTTAAAGGCTATAGCTCAATCCTACCTGGTAAGACCTGAGAAATCCCCACTTCTGTGAACAAATACTACAGTCACCCATGTTCCACACATGAGAAAACAGAATATATGAGAGAGACTTATTTATCTACACAACTGTCATGTGTCAAGGGACACTGGGGACAGGGACATGGTCTGTTGATCACATTTTAGTCCCTCGCTGGTCATTACATCACTCCATTGCATTGGGCAATGAATTTTGTCTTTCATTTGTTTTGACTGAATCTTTGAACACAAGACCAAACACATTTCTTCTCAAAGAATTTATTCACCATCCCCTTTTGAGAATGTGAAAAAAATCTCTGTTGGATATAATCTGTGTATTTGCTTGATCATACAGTTTATATCATCAATCGTTTTGATGAATGAGCCATGTAACTTTTTTTTTAATGCACAGGTAACTTTATTATGGTTTCACAATGTAAAATAAAATTGTTTTCCAGGAAATTGAATATAAATATAAAACAACCAAATAATAGAACGTTTCTAGTTATAATTATTTACAGACTTTGTTGTTTTGAGACAGTTTCACTATGTAGTCCTGACTGTCCTGGAACTCACTATGTAGATCAGGCCGACCTTGAACTCATAGAGATCCACCTGCCTTTGTCTCCCAAGTTTTGGGATTAATGGCATGCACTGTCACTCCAGACATTTACAGACTTATTTTTAAAGCAAGAATTTTAAAATGAATCTTTTTTTTTTCTGAATCGAATCCTCCTAGGTCTTGAAACCTTCAGTGATGTTAAAAACATTTGTTCTTGCATGGAATACTAATATTTTCTCATTAAAGTATAATTTGTTCAGGCAGGTAACAGCATAAACTTAAGTGTGGTCATTACACATTTGAAACGCATATGTTAAATAACTGCCATCTTGGAACACTGTAAGCTTTGGTTTCTATCAAATTTAGTTTAGTTTCTAAAAAATATTCTACTTGGTTTTTTTCTTTTCAATGCTCCACCTTTCTCATGAAAAGAATGCTACTCCTTTTGTAAGTATATCTACTTCATAAAAACTTGGAATCCACAGCAATTACATGCTACAGAGGAAGACTGATCAGTTCCAATTTCATTGTCCTCTCTGGCTAATTTTAGATGTAAAAACTCTTAAATTCTTTCATGCATACAATGTATACTTTAAGCATAATTGCTATAAATATGGAAAATACAAAGCTTTTGTTTTAGGTTCTCACATAATAAGTACATTTCCCTTCCTGTCAACTACATTTTGACTGGGCACAACATGGTAACCTGGTGTGCATTAGAAAAGGCAGTCTTTGGATGAGCTCCTATTTTGAAGATTTGGGGAAGGGTATTAAGTCAACAGAGTGGCACCTCTGGTCTCCTCATGGCCCCTCCACAGAGATGTAGCAAGAGAGTTGAGAGAGTGAGTTCCAAGAAGAGAAGGAAGCCTAGTAGTCATCCACTAAAAAAAAAAAAAAAGAGAAGAAGAATGATATTTTTCTTTGCTATTTATTTCCTTAATGAAAGAAAGGGTTAAAAGCCAATTAATTCTTACTTTCAATGGTAAGAATGCAGGTACTTGCTGCAGAGCCTTTATTGTTGACTGCTTTACACATATATTCTCCTCCATCTTCTGGGAAAGTTTCTGGTAAATAGAGGCAGTAAGTTTCACCTCTTTCAATGTACTGGTAGTCTTCTCCGTCCTGCAGCATTTCTCCTTCAAACCACCATGTGATTTCTGGTTTGGGTTCTCCTGTTACTTTAACAGTGAATCTGACTGGCTCACTGTCTACAACTGAGGTATTTCTTAGAGGCTTTTTGAACCATGGAG